AATGGATCTTTTAAAGAATAGAGAAAAAAAATGCATTGCTAACTGAATACCAGTCAGAACCGATAATATGTGAGCACATTGGTTTAATCGCACGCTTTTATGCTGATTATTTAAAAAAAAAAGCGTCAACTGAAAACACAAACTAATAGCCAAGGCTTGGACTTTTTTATTTATTTAAACCAATGAATGTCTAATCATTAGATGTGCTAGCTGCCGATGATACTCTCTGCATTTAACCCATCCTCTTTGGGGAGCAGTGAGCTGCCACTGTGCAGCGCCCGGGGAGCAATTGAGGGTTAATGGTTACTCAGAGCCAGAGTGACAGTCTGTGGGAGGGGGTTTTGAACTCACAACCTCAGGATTCCAAGCCCTATGCCCTAACCAAGTGGTAAGTCATCCATCCTTCAAACAGGAGGCCTGGGTTTGTATCCCAGCTGGCGGGAATGAGCTGCTAGTGTGGGTCTTTAAGCAAGACCCTTTACACTAGTACCTGCTTTGGGGGGTGGCAGCCTAGCGGTTAAGGCGTTGCACTTGAAATCCAGAGGTTCTGAGTTCCACTCCCACAGACTGCCACTATGGGTCCCTGACCAAGACCCTTAACCCCACACTGCTCCCCGGCCGCTGCACAATGGCAGCCCACTACTCCCCAAGGGGGATGGGTTAAATGCAGAGACCTAATTTTGTGGCTCTGTACTAGTAACGGTATAATGACAATAAAACAAAAAAGAAAAATGATTACATGTTAGCCCTACAGTTGTTTCCTAATCAGATGAGTGTTTTGTTAGGGATTACAGTTTACCAGTTAACATTTTCATAATTTTTTTGCCAAACATTTATGAGTTTTTATGTAATTTTTTTTTACAATTGAGATTCTTTTCTTTGCAAACTTAAGTTTTGTGGAAATGGTGATTCATATGGTTACCAGCTGTTAGGAATTACATTTAAAAAACCGTAACACAGAGAAAAGTTGTTTTGTATTTTTTCAATAAGGCTGAAAAATTGTTCCACAGTTGAAGGTTTGGAAGAGAATAAAGGAGGAAATATGTCAAAAGACCTCGAGGGCTGGATGACGAACGGAAGATGAAATTTGAAAGGGGGGAATAAAATATCTACCTGTAATTACATGTTCGACAGAGAAGAGTGTCAGCTGGGCAGAATGGGCCTCATCAGCAGAAACCAGAGTGCCTCACTCTATAATCTTTGACCTCCTGCTGTCCAACCATCCACAGGAGAAGCAGGGCCATCACTATGGCCTCTTCTTAAAACTTGAACCAACACCAGGCTGGAGGACAAGACTCATCAGTCAATCAGTGTCTATGAGTCTTGTCATCCTCAAACTTCCCCAGTCCCTGATAACAACCCCACTCAGCACGCTCAGCACTGTGCCGGCCCGACAGCAGCCCATGAGTAATAAGGTTCAACTTCCTAACTTCTCCCCTTCAACTTTTCCTCCTTATTTAATAACGTTCAATATTTCTCCCTCTTTTCTGCCATATAACAAATAACCCTCCGCTACATCACCACCGCCATCACACCCCTTCCTCCTTTGTGTTTGCCGAAGTCGCTAATATTAGGAAGAGCAAGTTCATTAGTGTAATTTAACATTGTCTAAAGTAGTTCCGCTCCCTTCCCCTCTGCTTGGCAGCTAGCTCAGATCTGTCACCGTGATGCATGCGCCGTTAATGAGCTTTCCTTGTTTATGCTTTTGCAGCAGCATGTGATAATTAAACTGCAGAGAGGAGTGTGAAATAATAGCTTTGTGTTTACCCTGCGCCCCACTAATGCGCCGGAGAGTGTGTGTTGAGCTCTAGAGCCGGTAGGTGCCGTTCAGGTGTGTGTTTGCTGGTAATAATGCATGTGGCCCTGGTTAGAAATATCTGCATAATGTTTTACCAATAAATGCTTTATTAAAGTGTGTGTGTGTGTGTGTCGTCAGTCAGCTCTGATTAAGAGCAGCGAGTGTGAGAGAAGAGGATGTGATAGTTCCTCCCTAACTGGCTTTTCTTATAGATTCCCTGACAGCTCCATAATTACAGCTCTATTATGAGTTGTGTGTGTGCGCGTGTGTGTGAGGGAGAATGAGTGTCATGGGCTTGATGACTATGAAATGAGGAGTTGAGAATACTGAGTGGTATTTTTAATCTTTTGTTATGTAAAGCCGCCTAAAACAAACATTTATCAAGAACAGAGGAAGGAACAAAGGCAGCCGTTCTCGGCGTCGTACACAGGCGGCTTTCGGGCTGACATATCTGCCTCTCATCCATTCTTCTCCGCCAGTGTTCTGCCAGCACGCCGTGACACCGACACTGAAGTCTGAACCCCTCACCGAGGTCATATTGACGCTGTGTGATGCAACTTGTGGTCTTTTCTGTGTTCCCTGCCTTTGGTGGCAGGGATTCTTCCAGAGCAGATACATTCCTGGACTTTTGATAAAGATGAAGTATAGATCTACAGCTTATTGGTTTATGTTTGCATCTCAGTTGGGCTTTACAGAGACATTTTTCTCTTTCTAAATATCCCAGTAAATTCAGAATGTATTCAAACTACCAATCAATTGTATTTTAATTTGGATTAGGATGTGTATAACTGGATCTAACTCTTCTATAGATTTTTTTAGTAGTTTCAGCTCCATTTAAATAACATTAGTTTGGAATGACTAAAGTTTTGTGTTTCCTTTATCACTCCTTAGGGTTTTGACACAACTTAGCCGATTACTTCAATGCAATTTTTTCAGGGTTTTTACATAATGGACTAACACAAAGTGGTTCAGAATTAGTTGATTCAAGAAAAATGATTATTGTAACACCTTTATTTTAAAATCTGATAACCCTAAAGCTAATATTTGACTCCAGGACCCACCACTTTATTTGCCATAACTCTAATCTTCTGTGAGTATCACAGGTCAGGTTTTAAGTTGAAGTTTAAAGCAGGTTTACGTTGAGCAGTTTTCCAAAGTTTAAAGCTACGCTGCAAAACTTTTGGGGGCTGCACTACTCAAAAACTCCACCATGAAGCTCAGGAGTGTTGAATCCATCACTCATGTGCCCCATAGTTCATTTCTACACCATCTGAGCTTCCCTTAAACACAAGAGCTAACTAAACTGAATGTTGTTTTTGGCTAACAAACGACATTTGACACTGATCAGACATGTTTCTGGTTCTCTGAGGGGGTGAATACTGGCTTGTCTTTACAAGTCACTCCATGACTTCATCATCTTCTGGTCTGCCATCAAATTTCAAAAAACAGAGGGGGACTATCCAATGTAGTGACAGAGTGCTTTTATCAGTTGCTTTCAGGGGTGCCAACACTCGGATTATGCTGCAGCTGCTTTGCAGTTGCAGAGCAAGTGTGCTGCAAAAAAGTCATAGTTCAGGCTTTTTCCAGAAGCTACTGGGAAAAACCCGTTATCAGAGCCCGTAAATATTCCTTTCATTGTCTGACACTTCCTCTGTTTCTCTTTAACCTAATTTGATTTTATTTTCAAATTCACCTGGACATTTTTTTTGTCTGGCACCTGTTTTTTTTTTTTTTGTTTTTTTTAGAACAGCGTAGCCAGCTTTCTAACTTGAAAAACAAAGTCCAAAGTTTTTTTTTTTTTTTTGTGAAATTTAGAATCCACCTAAGAATTCCTATTCCGTCTGAGAATATTTTATTTCTATCAAATGCACATGATTCTGAAAGGTTCTGTTGAGCTTCCTATAATGCAAAAATACCTCGACAGGCTTAAACTTTGCAATATTTGGAAAGACATTGTTGATCCGCATACCCTCTATAACAAAATCCACACTGCACCGTGGGATATGTGAGTGTAAGCATTGATTTGAATGATTTAGGTTCCTTGTATGCCTGCACCACAGCTGCACTGGGTTTAATTTGAGTTGGTGTAAAAATGGAAGTTACAGATCTCGTCTTGCTAGTGGCTAAAAGTTACACCATTGCTTTAAACTTATATAATCCAAAATTAGAAAGTTGGAGTAATCTTCCTAACCTCCTGACATAATTGATGGTGGCAGCATCATCCTGTGGGATTGGGGAAAGAGAAGCAGAAGCAGAGTTAAAATGGATGTACTGTAGGTGAATACAGGTCAATAAACTGGTAAATGTTTATGAAAACCAAAAGATCCAGGATTTAAGAGCCAATCCTCGACGATTGGGTTATGCATGCCGCTAGTTTAGAACGGCCCAATCAAAATCCAGAACGAAATCCACTTTAGATTTTAATCATCAACAATCCATTTCTTTTTTCTTTTTTTTTTACCAGTTTGTGTTCTCTCTGATTTGGCTTTTATTTGGACATTCACAAGGTATAAATACCTTTGCATTCCATTTAAATTAAAATGGAATAAAGTTATTTTCAGTGAATTCTATTGCTGTGGAGAATCAGCCACTATTGTTACACAGAGCTGAGAGCTAAATGTAAGAAAGGTGGGAGGCCTCATAAATATTCACTCGGGAGTTTTTCCCTTTTTTTTTTTTTGTTCACTGACGGGGTCCTGATCTTTGGTTTCCGACACTCTTGACTCTCTATGACGGGTCAGAAGTCGGCACAACACAATTTTTATCAGCTTCTGCCGAGGGCGGCGATGTCAAAGAAGTAATTAACATGCTCTCTATACGTTACATGTAAGCCGTCATTCAGCCTTCACCTCTGGATGCCATTGACCTAATTTATATGCACTTCAGTCTCCATCGGAGCGACATGCAATTTCTCTGGAGTGTTGGTTAACAATACAATTCCACTTCCATTTCTCATCCCGCTCTGCTATGAGGCCGTTCCCAGACAATTTGGATAGCTCTGTAATTACATTTCAATTATGAGGAAACAGTTACTCTGATGACAGCAGTTTTGTAATAGAGAAGGGGGCTCTGAAAGGCCATCTACACTAGTGTCACTTTGAGGTTTCTTCCCCCTTAAAAATCCATTTGTATCCTTTGTGTATCACTTTTTTTTTTCTTTTATATAAAATTTTGATCATGTTTGTGTTGTAATTTCTTCCAGAGTCTGTGCACCGCCACATGCAGCAGTACGAGGTGGAGTACCTGCAGTTCGCCTTCCGCTGGATGAACAACCTCCTGATGAGGGAGCTGCCTCTACGGTGCACCATCAGACTGTGGGACACATATCAGGTGGGAACACATGCACAATCACTCCAGCACGCAGCAGGTTCACTCTTACCGTACTTAGGCTCCCTTTCTGGCTCTGGTTGATATTTTCAAGTTGGTAAACATCCCCTGACGACCACATTGGGTGATGCCGTTTTTTTTTTTTTAACAAAACGAATATATGATGCAACATGTCTTTAATTAGAGGGGAGGAAAAACTTTTCCTTTTTGATAGAGGTTAACTTTTTTCCATCATTTTCTTTAGTTGTCTTAAAGTAAAAATATTTAGCTTGCATCCAATCCTGATTTCTAATCATGTGAAAAATGCTTACAACCCTTTACTCTTCTGGTTTCTTTCCTCTTCACATTGCCTCAGCAAGTCATCTGCTTCCATCTCAGTATGTCCTAGCGCTGTCTCTATATCCTCGTTCAGTACCTCCACAGACCCCCTCTGTGGGCTCTTTACCTCCTCCCTGGGAGGTTCATATTCACCATCCTCTGTGCCATACATCTACTATCCCTCCTCTGCACACCAAACACATCTGTCATGCCTCTCAAAGCTAAACATTTCTGATGCTTTCTGCTTTGGTCTCTGTCAATACAGCAATGTTAACATCATCTAATTGAAAATTGTTTCTTAAGGTAAATTGTTTCTTAAGGTAAAGTTGACATCAATTAGAAAAGGGAAATAAAAAAATTGTTGATTGGAGATGCTTTTAAAAACAGAACAAACGGCGGTTTATAAAAAGATTTCATAAAACATGAACATAGATTTAAACTATATCTTATACAGGAGAATCCAGTCTTAATTTGACAAATCAATTAATTGTAGATTAAGACATAGGGCTGATCTAAAATAATGCTAATACAAGATTAATATTCTGCAAAATCTGAAACAAACATTAGCTGCGTTTTGAATTAGATGGATGATATAACATACATCACTCTAGGTCCAGCTTGTTGGATAGGTGAGCAGTATGACATTTCTTCTCCTTCACTAGCTTCACATAATGGAAACATTAGATATAATCTAGGAAAAAATAAATAAATGCAAGCCTATTTACTGTGTAGAAGGGTTGGACTTTTATTTTTTTATTTCATAGGAGTAAAGATGTCTTTTGCTAGAGGGATGATTTAGTCATTTCAACTGAACCAAACCAGCAAAACCTCAGATTTAATAACCTAACCTTACTAAGACGGATACGGAAAGCCATTAAAAAAAAACTCTATATGTGCAAAAGAGATCCACAAAGAGAGAAGAACAGGTTAAGAGTCCAGATTTGTTTTTAATACTATTAATAAATAGTATTAAAAACAAATCTGGACTCTTTAACCTGTTCGGCCTTTGGCATTTACCTTATCCAGAGCTTAATAGGTGGCGCCTGCAGGAAGCCCATATAGTTAACCTGGCTTGGCATTGTCAATACGGCCAAATGTCTGCTATCGATTTTATGTATGTGTGTGTGTTTGCTGGAATGTGTTTTGGGCTTGAACTGAGTACATATAATAGATTTTCCAGTTAATAAGAGAGCGAGACATGTGACCATGTCAGAGTGATTTATAAGGTGGGATGCATGGATAGAAGAGGAATGAAGAGCCGTTTTTGGGGGTTTGAAGTGGATCTTTCCCTCGGCGATACTTCCAGCTGCACAGAGCGTTCACTTGAACATATGCTCGGATCTTTTCCGCTGTCATCTCTGTAGCTCTCACTACCGCTCTTCTGTCACATGCTTACATTTTGCTCCAGCTTGCCATTAAAATACAGATGTTCCTTGTCATACACGCCATTTAGCTTGCATCTAACACTTGTAACATCTTCCCAACTGCAAAGCTATAGTGTCAGATTTGAAGCTTACTAAGGCTTCCTCCTATTCATTTAGACAAATATCAACTTTGATCAAACCAACAGCACTATGTAGCTATTTTACTGCCATTAAAGTTGTTGTTTTTTTAGATCTAGATGGAAAGGCAAAGGAGTAAGGACCAAGAGCAAAGTGTTATACATTGAAATATGATGGCGCTATAAAACGTGGATGAATTAATCACGAATATGCTGTGGTTTACAGCTGAAGCGCTTAGTTGACTCCCTTCAAACCATATCTTGAATTAATGAAAAGCAAATGAATCATGCCTAACTGTTTCTGAACTTCAGCTGAACTGTGGGCAACATGACATAGATGGTACCTGACGCCTAAAAGCAATAATTTTGCCCAACCTAACATAAAAACACCTTTAGCTAGGTGTTTTTTTGTTTGTTTTTTTCCCCAGAACCTCCACTAGCAAGACTCTAAAAATAAACTCTGGCCAATCTTGATGAAGAAACAGAAGGCCTTTAAGAAGCTGCACTCACTTAATCTGCTCTAACCTTTCTATGTTATATCAGCAACTACCTGTAGCACCATATAATGCTAGATAGGCAACCAAAAAAGACTTAAATAAAAGGGATCTGGGTACATTTTGGCATGCCTTTTCTTAGGAAAAACAAAAAAGCTAAGCAAAAGGAGCTAAAAAAAACTGCAAGATTTAAGCCTGTTAAAGTATTTTTGCAGCATAGGAAACTAAATAGAACCTTTTAGAATGCATTTGATAGAAATTAAATATTCTTAGATGGATTAGGAATCTTTTATTGACAAAGTCTTTATGACCCAAAATCAGAGCCGTCAGGAACAGTTTTAAGGTTGTCACTGCACTCATGTGTTTTTGAATTTCCTCAACCTACTTCATAAGATTTACAGAAATGACTCTGTAAAATACAAAGGGAAAGGATTAGCTTTTATAATTGCTTTCATTCTTCAGTGGTTTGAGTAAAAGTCAGAAACTGCTCTCTTACCTGCAGATCTGCGGTGGACTCTGGTTCACCTCAAGTATAAAGTAAGAACCCAGGAATGAATTATTAAACAGTGTCGTTACTTTTGTCGTGACTTGACAACAACACACACTCACTTTGTACTTGTAATCCATAATGCTAAATATTTGATGTCTTACAATGTAGCTTGGACTGTAGCTTTCACAAACCCTTGCGCTTGTTCTCAAAGATATGTTTTGGCAGGCTTGGTCCCAGGCTCTCACCTCCGCTCTGAAGCTTGTGAGGAAATTTGACCTATTCTCTTCTTCCAAAAGAATAGGCTTTTTATCTTGCCAGTGTAGCTCAGACCTTACTCTGCTTGCCATTCATATTTTATTCTTTCAATACACCTGTTTAAATTTCTGAGCATATTTTCATGAGGCTGTCGAAATTAAAATTATGCTTTGACTTGTTTTTATTTTTTCTATGATGTTGTTGATACTAGGGCTAAAATATGTAAAAAGCCCTAAAGTAATTTTTCATTACAGAAGCATATTTTCAAATTTAAAAAAGGAATAGAGAAACTGTTAATTTTAACTAAATCAGCAACAGGAAAGATAATTTCTACCTACAATTAGTCCCTTCCTGCAGGCATGGTTTACGTGTAAATAAAATATCCTGTACCACTCTACATGAGTTATTGCACAGTAGTATATTTTTCTTTGTAGTCATGTGTTTCTATTGACACAAATGGTTTAAAGAAACTTATATCCCACGTGTATTTTAACATACCATGAAATATGATTGTTTTCTGAAGACATTGGATTTGCTCCAGTTTCCTCTTTGTTATTGATTCTCTTTTGATCTTAATGACTTCAATAAAATAGCCTCAGGTTTTTTCCGAATACTTTTCTTGTGTTGAAAATGTTCCAATGACAGAAGAACCAATTCAACACATCTCTCCTTGAACCCTCAACGTAGGCCTGCTTTTACACATCCCACTAGTCCATTGTAACTCCCATTACAAACACCTTGTTATTGACGGCTCACACTCCGATCAGTACTTTCAAACTTACAGGCTCCAACCTCCGGACTCGTAAGATCAGTTTTTTTCCCCCATAAGGCTAAATGGCTGTGTATACTCCCCCAGCAGTGTGTGGACCTGGTTTCTGAGCATAAACCAGGCTTTACATGCTTAGATTCAGTAACCCAACAAAGACTGTGGGTAAAAACAAAACTGCACTTATTGCAATAATAACAATATTACAGTTTCACTGGAGTGATTGGAATTTGCATAATGGATACAACCCTGTGACATCACGATCAAATCGCTATTTAGGTCGATTTTTTTATTTGTCACCCAGCCTGAAATGGCACTTAGTTAATTTCTCCTGCTATTTATGCCCCAAACCACCCTGGTTTATAGATATTGAATCCCAGCTCAAGGTTGTTACTGGATTTGGGCCTGTTTAAGGCAAAAATATTCATCAAAAGAAACAAAACTTTCCAGTAAATTTGACCCTCCAAGATTCTTCCAGAAAAAACTGGAAGAAACCGTTTCTTCCTGCTGGAAAAATCCTGGAGAAAAAAAACGCCATCCAGAAGAAACTCCCAACCCTGCCAATAATGATCCATTTTCATATTCCTTTCAAAAGAGGCTGGATGTTGTTTGGAAGAGCTGATGATGCGTTGTTCCTCAAGTATGTTTCAAGAGATGCAAAACCTCAGCAAGACAGATGTTAGATCAAGTTGTCTTGTGGTTATTAGAGATACTAAGCTACTGTTTGCTGCTGTTGTCCAGTTATATACTCTGCAGATATATTTTCTTTCTTTACAATCTTTCTCACTTTGCAAGTTGGTAAAATAAAAACGGATATCTGAGCAGTTTAGAAGTAAGCATGTATGCCATAGGAGTGATTGGACCTTACTCTAATGATTCGGATGGATGAGGAAATATTTTTGGCAATTTAGTGCATGGATTTGCAATGAAAACAGATAGTTTTACTTATCAAATAAAGGATGAAATAAAGTTTAATCTATATTAAATTGCTTTTTTTTCTCCACACGATTATGCTATAAAACTATTGTTTTTTGAGACCATTTGTTCGTGTTTACACAATGAACAGAGTACAAAGAGTTCTGTGTTTTGAATAAAAAAAAAGACCTTGTCCTTTCCTGCTGAACTGTTTGTATCTTTCAGGGGAGATTTTAACCTGAGCACTATAATGTCTCCTCTGTG